CTCCAGGAGGGAGCAGGAGGGAACTTTACTGTGCCATACAGTAAAGTTCCAAGTACCATAATTACAACTATTATTAGTCTAATTGCAACGAAAGGGAAGCATCCAGAACTCAGATAGAAACTTCTCCACTCCCCCACCCCACCCCTGCAGCTGGGACCTGCACGTTCCGCCTGTGCAATACGGCGGCAGCGAAGGGCTGTTGGATGGCTGCCCGATTCCCAGCCTGGCCACGGAGAAGCCGGGGACCCCGGCACAGAGAGAGAGGTTTTCTACCAAACAGGCAGAAAACTACCATCTGTTCGTCACTGCCTCACCAGCCACAAAGACTTCTTTACAGGTGTGAGAAAATAGTGTTCTCTCTTATCTGATGTTTATCAACTCTGGGAGGCCAACTGATGCCAAGCGTGGGCTCCAGGCGCAGACAGCTGGGTCCCAGACCCTGCTCTGCCACTCCCCAGCTATGAGATTTAATCCCCCCAGGCCTCTGTTTCCTCACCTGTAAAATGGGAAGAATAATGCCTCCTTGCAAGACTGTTTTGGGATTACACAAAACAATGAATGCAAACGCACAAAAGACTTTTGATGTTTGAAAAAAGTCAGGCTCCCTGGGCCAGAGTTTGCAAACTAGAAGCCTGCAGGCCAGCCTGCCCACAGACATATTTTGTTTGGTATAACTTTCTAGGTTTTTTTTTAATTTGAATTTGTTGCCAACATTAAAAATTAGACAAATGCCCAATAAAATGTCATTCTTTCTATTTTCTAAAAAATCAATCAATCAATTTGAAAATTCTCAGGACCCTGGCCCAGGCAAGTGCTCAGTATCTGTGCCTCCCGCAGACGGGAAGCAGAGGTCGGTTCCCCCATCCCCACCCGTCCCCACTACTCACAGCAGCCCACCTCACTCACTTTAAGGTCCTGCGCACTCCGCAGCGTTTGGGTTTTGGGCCTTTGCACAGTCCCTGGAGGCACAAAGGGAACACAAGCCTGGCCCCTGCCCCCGCGGTGCTGCCCACCAGGCCGTGGGGGTGAGCTCTCCAAGCCCTCTGCTTCCTCGCCTCACCCATCCCCTGCCATCCCAGCCCACCCCGCCGGGCCCGGCCTGGGGTGCCAAGCAGTCTGCTTGTTCCCCTTGCAGGAGAGCTTCAGAAGCAAAGAGTAGATGTGTTGGCTTCACCCATCTCCATCCTGAGCACGAAGGGTCGTGGAGGGCAGCACAGAGAAAGCTGCTGTTTCCTGGGACCCACTGTGGGGCAGCCACCATTAGTAAGGGGCTGGGCCCTCAAATCCCCACAGACCCTCCCTAGGAAGGCTGTCACCTCCACCTCGAAGCTGGAGAGTGAGGCTCTGAGGTCAGGAACCTGCCCCCAGGTGAGCTGGGGAGGTGATGCCAGACACTGGTCCAGCTGACCCCACACCTCTGGGTCAGCGGCTCAGATCCTTTCAAGGCCACCAGACCGCAGCCAGCTGGGGAGCCCCTTGCCACACCGCAGGAGGGGCTGGAGCAGTGGCCGCCGCTGACTGCCTTCAAGCTCTGGTGCTCTGCGTCTCCACTCACATCACCCGTCCATCCCGCTCCGACCGCTACCCCGGCTGGGGGAGCTGGAGCTGAACTGATGTGTTCATGTCTTGTCTCTGACTCGGGGTGTGACTTAAGCAAATTAGTGAATTACTCCAACTGTACGTACAGTTTCATTTATTTCCGCAGCTCCCGACTACCAGGGATGAGGAAGTGGGCAGGAGTGTCAGCTCTCCTCTGTTCCCCGACGTCGGATCAGAGGAGGTAACTGAGGCTTCTTCCCTTCCAGGGAAGGGTGAACGGGGACAAGGACCAGCTCTCGTACAAAAAGCCAGGCAGGGAGCAGGGGTCACAACATGCTGCATGACACCCTCAAACACTGTCTGGTCTGTCCCAGAAAGGCGGGTGCCACATGGTTTGGAGGTGAGGGGCTCGTCTGTGAACACAGGAACCTTCCAGCACCATGCCCTTCTAAGCTGGAGGTCCAGCCACAAACACACCTGTCTGGATGGTCACTTGGACTTGGCAACTCGCCAACTATGTGTAACCTTCAAGGACACTTCAGTATCACTATCCCCATTTTACCTCTGGGAAAACCAAGGGTCAGAGAGGTGACACAAATCAATAATAAAGTGGTGAACAAGCACAGAGGGCAATGGGCATTTGACAGTCTTTGTGGCTTGGCCTCATCAAATTCATCCTGCACTGGCACCATCATGCTACACTGCCTCAGTGAGGAGACAGATCAACGGATGGATGATGGGTGGAGGACAGATAATGGGTGGATGGAGGACAGATGGATGATGAATGAATGGATGGATGGATTGTGAATAGACGAATGGATGGAGAGAGGTGGATGAATGCACTTACAAATCGATCAATCCATCCTGAGCTAGCTCTGTCTCCTTTATGCCAACTGACCTCTGTCTGCCTGGATCCCTCTCTTTCCTCCAAATTCTTCCTCCAACTGTCCTGGAGAGACTTGTTTTCAGACCAGCCTCCCTCACCCATAATCCTGACCGACCCTCCCTGACTCTTCTCCCATTGGACCTGCTCTCTTGCAGGCAGAGGTGGGAGACCAAAATGAAGGCTCCGGTGTGGCTTGACGGCCACGGAGGCCAGTGGGAAAGCTGTTATCCATTCAGGGGCTGCTCCCTCTGTCGTTATAACCTAACGCTGCATCAGGTGCTCACATTACCCCA